CAAATTATGAATTTATTAATTTATGTAGTCTCCCTTGGAAGAAACTTTTGCTTTTTATTGAAACCTTTTAAACATTTGTATTTAGTTTGTATAAGTGCTCATTTGCAATTCGTTTTCCATCAGTCTGCGCTCGAAACTGATTTATTAATTAATTTTTTCCACCATCTCGAGCAAACCACTTCACTTTCAGAGATTGCATATTAAATATAAATAATAATGACAATAATAAATTGCGGGGAATGAAAATTCAGAAATTTTCTATCTCTCAAACGGATATTATTTACTCTACGTATTTTATTTGAAATGCAGATTGCTTCTAGATTGATTAATATGGCATGAAATTTCAAATAAACAATACCTCCAAAGTAGATTACCAAACGTCCACAAACATGGGTTAGGACAATCATTACTCATTTCCAACTCTCTCAAACAGCTACTTGCACGGTGACTTCGATGCCATTTATACGCAATAAAACTAGAATTGTCAATACCGTGGATTAAATCGTAACAATTATGGCGATATGGGTCAAATAATTCCCCTTTTAATACAAGTCCGTATGATAAAGTCTTGCCTTCAAGACTTCATAGGGCGTTATTTGATCGACTTCATTTGAGTAAATAATGGCTAGGCCTTCTAGAACACATCATTCCCTTTATAGCGCAAGCCGAAATCTAGTGAAAAATAATATTTCTTTGGAAAGACAGCCTAAGTCCTCTCGACCCAGTTTAATTGATATTAATTACAGCATTCCTTTAAATGAGTTGGAGAAGGGCATCGGGGTTTGTGTTGCTTTTAAAAGTCATAAATATTGTATCCTCCAAGTTAACTTAAATGCCCTAATCTACTCTGTTGACATTAAGTGGAATAGGCCCGTTAGCATGTGTCCATATTAATGATCAGTAGTTTTGATCAAGAAAAGGCTCAATGATGAATCTTTGTCTCAACTATTGTCAATTACGTAGTCAAATATCCAGTTCTTCAGATCCGTGTCTATCTACTCGACCACATGCCTTATTTCTTTGTAGTAATAAGTGTACTTATCTTTGCTCATTTTTGAGCAGATCAGTTATAAAGATCAATTTATTCATTTACACAGTCTCTTGTGAAACAATATTTACCTCATCGCTGTCAACATTAAGTATTTTGAATTTGGTGTGCGTAAATTTAAGGTTTGTTTTTAATTCCTAATCAAATCGGCAATTACCAATCTGCGCTCTAATTTGACCTTCCACTCGATTTCGAAATAATCCAATCTCACTTCAAGGGAACCCATGAAATGATATTAATAATTGCGAAATGAACGGAATAAAATTCAGCGCCTGTTTGTCCCACTAATGACAAATATTGAGCTTGAATAGTTTAGTAATAGTCAGATTTTTTGCCGAATCGCATATCATGGCAAGTAATTGAAAATATTGACTAATTTGGCGCTGAATCGAAAAGGTGATAGACATGAGCAAAATCATTTGATTCTCAGCCTTAAAACAGCTTAAATGCAGGTTAAAACCGATGCAATTATATTTGAGAAACCTGCTTAGTCCAATACCGTGAATTCAAGTTAAGCATTTTAAATGTTATGGGTCCAACAAGATGAAGAAGCAAGTGTTTTGTATTCGCGCTCTCAAGTTGTTAATTTATTACTTCTAATTTGGCAGTTTAATTGAAAATTTTGAAAACAGACTATTATTCATTATGTTCAAAATTGGACACGGAGCAAGTACTTAAATGCATTGAGTTACGGCTAAAGATTGAGCATAGTAGGAGATTAGAACAGAATTGTTCAGATTTTTACAGATTTGAAAAGCGTTTTTGCCATGGAAATAAACTTTTAATCTGACATAGAATGCATTCCATTCCCTCGTGATACAAAAGCATGCAAATCGCCGTATTTGCAACTCGTCGACAAATGAAGTTTAAAGGGGAAAAACGTA